CATCATCAGTAACATTAACTTCACGTGTTGTTGTTGAACAATCACTATTACATAATGCGAATGTAGCATGTATATAAGCTGCGAAAAATATCTGACTTGACTTGTTTTTTTCATCAAGTCACAAGTCCAGTCAAGTCAAGTCATGAGTCACCGAAAAAAATTTACAAGTCGAGTCAAGTCAAGTCGCAAGTCATCTAGAAAATTTTCAAGTCAAGTCATCCAAGTCAAAAATGACTTGACTTGACTTTGACTTGAGTAATTTTTAACTTGACTTGCCCATCTCTGGATATGACAACTGAGGCTAATTTTATTAAAATATATGTACGGTAGTTCACACTCACCCATGTATGCGATGAAAACTTTTCATCCATGCTTGATTTACTCTGACTTTGGCAAAATTATCATCACCCTCGCTGACTACTCCTCTGATTTTCATAAATATCATGACAAACTCGCCTTTATTAAATATTTGCAAAACACCCTTATTTGTTCCTAATCTCGGTATCAGTCTCGTGGTTACAAAAGAAGGAGTATCTTTTTTCAAAACATGACTTACAACTTTGGATAAGAACAGATATGAAATTTCGTTTCAGTGGTGACTGATATTGTTTGACTTTTTACTGTAAAACAGAGTGGATTAAAAAAAGTGATTTCATAAAAATATTTGGCTTAATCCTACGATTCACTTAACTTAATCGATAACCTTGCTTTTCATCAAGAATATTATAGCAAAACTCTGGACACAAGTAGATGATCACCGAGCACAACGCCTCGTTCTAAAATGATATCTCTTTTCATGATTTTGACTGATATCTTCGATATATATGCGCAGTCAACAGAACCAAATTGAAGGTCTCAGAATTGTCTTCGCTCATTTTAAATGACTCGAATTATAAGCTGTAGACAAGAACTATTATCTGAAAAGCCTTTTTTTATGAATTAGTTTGCGTAAAAATACATAAAAATGGTTTTTTCGATGAAAAATTCCTTAACATTTTGGCCGATCAAACGTAGCTTTCCAAGAATATTTATTTTGATAAGGGAATTTTAATGAGAATCGATGGGAAGACTGTTGATTCTAAAAGTGCTCGATTGAAAATGCAAGAGTTTTTGTTAGCTGTCTCATTAATTTTCATGCTAATCGAACATGTAAAAATTACCGAAAATCTCTTTCACTTTAAATCAAAAATTTTTAGAATCAAAAGCTTCCCATCGATTTGTATTGAAATTCTCTTGTAAAAATAAATATTTTTGGGAAGCTACAGTTTGATCGACCACAGTGCTAAGGAATTTCTCATTAAGAAAACCGTTGTCAAACATTTTTACGTAAACTAATGCAGGATCGGACTTTTCAGATAATCTTTCTTGTCCAGTCTCCGAATGTCTAATGGTTGATTTCACAAGTCCTACATATAATCATGTATATATATATATATGTAATGATACATTCAACAAACACTTATGCACTTGTTAGTACTGAAAGTCTAAAATAATTTCTCGATGCCATATTGTATATGATACTTAATTTTGTTCATTTTTATTGTTTTTAGAGGCTGAAAACCCCCCATCTGTCATAGTGCATGGATTTATCTGTTCTCTAAGTCCTGGAAAAATCATGCTTGTTCTCATTAGTGGTGAGCAAGAAACATATATTCGTGATGACACATCCACAATCGCTGTGATCAGTGACTATCAAAATCGACATCACCTTGCGGTCACGTTGTTCGCAGATTCTCTCTATCTTATACGTATTCACTTAGATTGTCCTCGACAATATGGTAGTGATTCACCTGGTACTGACTGCAATATTGCTCATCGTGTGGATGTATGGATTGATCTTAATAATGACGGAAACTTTGATGAATCCGAGAACCAAGTTCATCGTCGGTCGCCAATCGACAGTGAAACCAGAGTAAATGGATATGATTTGACAATTTTTATACCTCAAATTGATGGGACCAATACAAAAGCTGGACATCATCGTATGCGCCTAAGTGTAATGCGAAGCGAAGATTATCAAAGACAATGTGGAAGCACGGACTACAGTGAAACACGAGAGTATACAGTCAATATTGTTCCAAGGAAAACGTGTGCAGGTAAAATTTGTACATTTATTGACAAGAGAAAGTTCAGTTGTAATTTAACATGTGAGATCATTTTTATTTCAACGACAGCTTGAAGTTAATAATATATCTGAATAGAGCTTAGTAATAGAAAACAAAAGATTGCTTCTATAATGAAGAATCTTTTAGTAGAAATGGAAAGAATTCTTCGAAAACAATTTGTGTTGGAATCGGATATATTTAGTCGGAAACAAGTAGTGTTTTATTTCAATAAATTTGGAATCTAGTCGAGTTTTCGAAATTAGTTTTGTTAGAGTTCAGATTTATGTCTTTGAATGAAGAGCTAGCCTAGATAATAATTAAAAATTAATTAATTGCTCATTTACACATAGTCATTAATCATCAATAATTTATCATGATTAGACGTTAGTTATTGTGTTTTATTACACTAAATGATTTTCAAATGAAAAATAACCTAAACTGTTACCTTTATGTTATGTGTTTTTATTATTTGTAGCGAATTATTTCAAATTCAAAAGTGGAAACATCAGTGTTTTCTCCCTTTGTAAATATTTCACTAATGTTTTACAATATATGTACCGAAATAAACTTTTTGTTTATACTTGCGAGTTATTCTCAATTACAAAAGATAGAGACTGAGAAACAAATGCAAATCTTATGTAGGCATAAGACTGGCATTGTTATTCTTCGAAGCGTCTAAAGTAATTATTTTTCAAAATAAAAACGCAGAACTCCATTCAGTATGATTCACTAGCTAGTCATTTTGAATCACGCGAAGTGAAATTTCGATTTTTGTAAGGTGTGGAAGGACTTCAATTATGTTTTTATTCATGCGACTTCTACATCTTTTGAAATAAAGAAAAACAAATCCGAATAAAAATCAATGCATACGTGATGCACACCGAACAACTTGTTTCCGAAAAGCAGATTGGCCAAAACTGTGTGATCGTATGTCAATAAATTGATCACCAAAACAATATTTTTCTTTTCGAGACACATGACTGTCAATTTCTTTCAACGGATATTTTTATGCAAAACTCGCTATAGGAGGTTGAAATGTCAGTAAAAAAGTCGAATCATCTTGAATGTCTTTCTAGTATGACTGAATCCTGTCTATCCAGAATCTTAATAAAGAGGTGAAAAAACTAGGAAGTTCACTCCGTAAACTTGATATTATGTTATACTTTCTGTAGAGATTGAATATTTGCGTAAACCAGAAATGGATGTAATAGCCCATCTGTCAGCAGAATTTTTATGACAAAAGTTTTGTTTTATTCAGAATCGAAGTGATTGAAAAATGTTAGAGTATCGTCCTTATTAACCACAGCCGTTCTTATTGGGTTGCGAAGGAATATTTTAAAACTAACACACTTTCCTCTATCTGATAGTGCCTTTTTATGCATATTAAGAGACATCCCCCACCTTGAATTACATTCAATTGTTGTTGTCTCTCTTAGATCGCACGAGGAGCACACATTGTTTGCCCGGAAATTTCATCTGTTCAGTGGGCAGTGGTGCCATTTTTTCGTTGAAGCTATCTGGTGAGCAAAACACGATGATTCATGATGAAATGAGACGATGCAGTCCGACAAATAATTATGAAGATCGAAGTGATCTAGTTGTAAAATTATTCGACAATACGATCTATACACTACAAATTCAGCTGTATTGTGTAAAATCATGGGAAGATGAAAGTTCAGATAGACAAGATTTATCTTTGGTTAAAACAAATTGCAACGTGGCTCACTATGTTAATGTATGGATTGATCTGAACAATGACGGTATATTCGATGATAATAAAGAACGACTTCTTCATGACGATCATTCCAATGGTGACTATGTCAAGCGTGACTATACTTTGAGAATTGCCATACCTAAGATTGATGGTAAAAATAATGTTGGAGAACTTCATAGAATACGTGTCATTTTGACAAGAGACGAAAACAATTGTAAACCTTGCTATAACGTTGGCTACGGTGAAGCACGAGACTACACAGTACACATTTTACAGAAACCTTACTATTAAGACACTAGTCGTGCACTTATTTGCATCGTACACTCTATGGATTTTAAATTTTGTTCTGTTTTTGCTTAGATTCAACCTAGAAAGATAATTCAATCCTATGGGTTTTACCATATTTTAATTCATACATCGTAATAACACTTAGAGATGCTAGTATTTTGTAATCGTGATGACAGTTTATACAGGCATCTCAATCAAAGCTTCATGTGGGATAGGATAGGACGAAGAAGTTCGTCCGATCGGACAAACTGTTTTTTTACTGTCCTGTGAGACAGGACATCAATGAAAAATATTACCGTCCCATAGAATGGGACAACTACACATAATTGTTCGCTCTATGGGATGAGACCTGAAATTTTTTTGTTTCAGCACATGGAACATGGCAATCTTGAAATACTTTTGAAAACAAGTGTGAGTGTTCGTGTATGTTGGTATGTGGATTGGTGTGAGTGTTTTAGGAGCAGAGCAACACCTAGATGCATACCCACACCCTATATATGCCAGTTATGGAATTTTAAAGTAGCTCTGCTCTTTTGATAGATTCCAAACCCAAATCGAAATCTGTGTCCCATATGCTGCAAATCTCAAAGCTTAAACCAAATTCAAAATTCAAATTTTGCCTACGATCTTGTGTGCAAATTCAAGCCCAAATCAAAATATCAAAGGTTTAGTTGGGAGATCTACTCAGAATTTATTGTGCTAGTTGTGTTTTCGACCGACTTTTACATAAAAGTCAACCTTTGAGATAAATTCACAAATTTACTAGGGACTCAATTGATTTATTGTGTAGCAAGTATTAGCGTGGAGTCTTGAAGTATTCAATATTATCTCGCAGGTCTTTATGGTGGAAACCTTTTTGCCATTGATGTGAAGCTAGCACGACGAGTAGCTACCACGACGAATTTAGGTAAACCGAAAATCCTGAATACTTGGACTTTTGGGGGCCGGATCTGGGTGCGGATGGTTGTGTACATGTTGCTGAGCATCCTCACCCAACTTCCGTCCGTGCAACGTCCAGCGTTACAGATTTCAAGCCCACCTAAATCCGTCGTGCTAGCTTCACATCGATCTTTTTGCCAATGTAGACAGCCATGCTTGCAACAGCTGCTAACCTAAGGCACGGCTATCTGATTTAACTTGCCGTGAGTCATATTTCGACACTTTCTGTTCAAGACTCTTCGATGAAAATATGTGTGCCATTAACAACAATTCAATCAACAAAGAATGCTGGAGATTGTTTAGAATTGATTTTGATTTATCAATGGAATAAAAAAGATGAATTTGATGTTATTCATTTCTGATTTACTCTTAAAAATCAATTTATTTGAAGCATTCAGCATTGATCGGAGAGCGTGTATGTGTGAGTAGGTGAGGATCATGTGTGTAGATATCTACATCTATCCACATCGACGCTTGGCTGTCAAGAGGATTAAGAATGTGTTAGATAAATGAAATATCGTCCACTTTTTGAATCATGTTCAACTTTGTTTACTATGAAGTTGTGTCCTGGATGTAAAAGTACTTCTTGTTCATGAGGATAATCTGAAATTGTTGATATGTCACTTTGGGCATTAACCAAGAAGTAAGTCTTTTGAGTAGTTATGATGAACAATGTATTTCCAAACTGTTCAGCTTGATGACGATCTTTGGATGTAGAAGTAAATGAAAGCCAACTTATAGTTTCACCAATTTTCTATTCGTATTGTTTAATTGTTTCATCTGTCAACGTACAACCACGATAAACGGCTATTGGTGATTCATCTTGAATTCCGCAATCTCGAATATAGTTGCATAATAACCAACAATACGGCCCTAATGAATCAAATTTACTCATATCTTCATTTCTTAATGTTGAATTAACTAATTTGTAGAGAAATGATTCCATTGAATACAACTGAATACAACATTTGTAGATCTCATCTTTGGATTCATTTTTAACACTGTTTAATCGATCAGCTATCATTTGAGCCTCAAACTTTTGACCTATCGATTCACCTTCTTTTAAAATACCTAAATTATATTTTTATGGAAGAACAAAGCATTGATCTATGTCATGTCGTAGAGGATGAAAGAGCTACTTTACCTTTGCAAGCTTTTTCGACAATTGCTGATAGAGGAATGGTACGGTCTTCAATGCTCTTATCCCATTGACTCACAAATGTTGGTGAACGATTTGAGCCACTACCGAACGATTTCGGTTTGTTAGGTTTCTCTGGATAGCAGAAGCGTTCTTCTCGTAAATGATTTTCAATTTCAATTACTTCTTTTTTCACAGGTCGCTGTCGATATTTATCGTCTTTTCTCATCTGTACCATGTGTTTGAAATCAATAACAAACTGATCTAATTGTACTTCCCGTTTACCACTCTGGAATCTTTTTTCAATAAATTCATTTGTTAAATCAGAATAACGTTGCCATTCTTTTTTCTCTTTAACATTCCATGGATCAGAATTGGATTGCCATGACCAAACAGTTTTCTTGGTCAGTGAAGTACTTTTATTCTTGGGTAGTGCAGATGCCATTGTAGTTTGGAATGTTGAGTATAAATAGAAATAATGACCACCCTAGGATTGTAGCAGAAACATATTTTGATTTTTAATCAATCTTTCTTTATTTGTTGTAAAAAAAAAGTGAAAGTATGTCTCGTCATTACTGCAAATTGCTCTCCAAAACAGAAATTTCTTCTTCTGTTTGTTTTTTTTTTAGAAATATTAGCTTGTGTCGCAGCTTTAACCTGTCCCAATTGTCAAGCTTGTTTAGCATTTATCATGTGTCAGTTGATATAGATTAGTACATGCGTTATGAAATCTCATCGGAGATCTATAAAAAATTCTTCAAGACCAAAGTACGTTATTTGGTTTGACAGTGTAAAATATGAAAAAAAAAGTTCTCGGATGTTTTGTGGTCGATATATTTTTGCAACCATTTAAGTAATTGCAACAAATAAGTAGTCATTTTAAAGACCATTTTAAAGTGTATTTACTGGGTAAAAATAAAGGTTCAAACTCAAGGAGTAAGAGAAAGTCAATAAAGGAAGTTTGTTACATACGTTTTTGGATCTCAAAAAACAATTCGTTAATGTTGAATAGTTAGAACCTGAAACAGATTTCTTTCGTCTTCGAGTTGTTTTTTAACGATTTCACAAAAGCCAAAGTAACCACCGTTTTACATGATCTTTTTAATGAGTCCACAAAAATCGAATAAACTATTGTCTAAAAAGATTTTTTTTTGACGGTTTCTTATAAAAATTACAAATTTATTATGTCAGTGTTTCTCGTTTTCTCTCGCATAGTTTCATTTACAAATGTGTAACAAATATAAATTATACATTTTTTGAAAGAGGAGACAATTTTCTATCAGCTGATAGAAAAAATATTCTTTTCGAAACATGTTTATTGAAAAGTTATCAAAGGAATACAGGAATCACAATTTTGCTGCATTTTTCTGAATCTCACGAAAAATGCAAATTCTTTTTAAGAGTGCTTCTGTTTTTCGTTGCGTCGTTTCGTTTATGAGCATGTTATAAAAAATAAAAAATAAGTTATGTACAAGTCGCAAGAGGCGAAAAAGTTCTACTGTTTGATAAAAAAAAAGTTTTCTTTCAGCATCTTTTCATCGAAAATAAATAGAGATCGACATTTTGGGCCATTAATTTTGCATCATACCTTATAAAAAAAAAAGTTTCTAAAAAACGTTTAATGATATCCTCATATTTATATATTATTTTTTAAGTGAGAACCTTGATTCTTATGCAATAAATAATATTTTAAATGTTCTTTAAAATGACTATTTATTTGTTGCAATTGCTTAAATAGTTGCAAAAATATGTCGATTACAAGAAGTCTGAGAACTTTTTTCCATACCTTCTTGTGCGATGTTTGTTCATCATCATCACTGTGTTAGCTTATGAAAGGAAAACAAATGTGTTCAAGTCGACTGTGGAGTCAACAAAATAAAGTGCATCGACGAATTTTTCGCAACATTTTTGCTCAACGTTCTCAAATGCTCACAGTTACTTTAGCGATTGAAGGCTCATAGGTATCAATAGAAAAGTGGAATGTCGAAAGAATTCGTGGTAAGCAACTCATTTTCATCTGTCCGATCTTTTTCAAAGTTATTCAGTAGTCATTTTCGTTGATTCAGTTAACAAAATGTCGCGTTGTCAAAAAATCAAAGGCAGAAACTGGTGGGCTGTGCATTGTTATATTAACAATTTAAATTTGTGAAGCATTCAGAACTTCTCATGTCGCACGTTTCTTGTCAGTATTGTCGGTATACCGCGGTGGTTGTAAGAACCGACGGTATACTGATGGTGTACCATCATTAGCGGATATGTCTTTTGGTTCCAACTATAAATAATTGCAGAGAGCATTTCCTGCTCAAATTCGAATTCATTATTAAAAATAATTCAAAGTTATCGAGAAAAAAACAATTTCATAATATATTTTACTAAGAAAACTTTTTGCAGCGCTGTTTAAGATGTGAATATGGGGTCTAGGTGGATGTGCATGAATCTTTATCGGCGCCCACACCCGCATTATTTGATTGGGTTTTTAGATGTCGCAGCTTAGATACAGTGCAATAATATTGAATGAACTATAGATCAATCGATAGAACTAATCAACATCAATCGAATGGTTTATAATTCATCGTTAGCACCCATGCAAAACTGAATTGTCAACCTAAATATCAAACGTCGAGCTTACCAAATCGGTTCTAGATATCCTCTTATCTGTAAACTATTACTATTTACAATGGATTATATATCAATCGATAGATCTGATTGAGATTTATCAAATGAGGTATGTTTTATTATTGGCACACATTCTGATGCGAATCGGCAAATGAAATACTAGAGATAACATTACATGATCAGATTTTAAAAGCGTAGCTTAAATAGAGTACAATGATTTCTAGTAAATTATGCATAAATCGATAGAGCTAATTAATACCAATCTATTCATGTATATTCCATTATTGACAGATACTGTCAAGTGAATATGGAAACGAATTTTGAAATTCTGGTGTTTTACGTAATCGGTTTTAGAGATCATGGGAGTCGTAAAGTATTACTATTTACAATAAATTGTACATCAATCAATAGAACTAATAAAGATGCGTAGGATGATGTGAGTTTTCTCTATGGCCCAGCATGTGGTGTACGTTTTAGAAGGACAGATTCTGCCGTGGCATATGTGTAAGGTTTTGGAGAACTTTTAATCTTGAATTTCGCCTTGGTGGTTGGAAAATGTATATCAATCGATAGAGCGCGTCAAACTGTGTCGAATACAAAAGGTTTCGGATGTCGCACAATTTGCAGAACGAATCGTTGGATGAAAAATCTCGTGAAACCCTTTTTTGATGAGTTTTAGAAATCAGATGGCCTGATGGGTTTTATTTAACACGATGTTGGCACTAGTACAATTCGTCGCAATCAATTCGTCGCGATCATTTCGTCGCGTATAAATGAGAGAATACATTGATTGAATTAAGTGATTTAGTATAGTATGTAGTTTAATTAATCACCCTAAAAATGTTTTCCATTAAAGTCTAATGACTCTTTCTTGATAATAGTTTTTCTCACAAAAAATGATAGGGGTGCCAATTTACAATTTATTTAACCGAAATTTAAATTAAATTTGAATTTAGGCTGATTTAAAATTTTAAAAAATTTGAATTTTTGAGCGCAAAAATTTCAAGTTGAATTAAGTTTAAATTTCAAAAATTTTTTTTTTTTAATCTTATAAATTATTTTAATCTGCGTTAGTCATCGGTATTTGAAAAATACATGACTTAAGCAGTAATACATGAGAGGTAAGAGAAAAATCTAGTATTTAGATAAGTTCAACATATGCTCATAAATATGAAAATTTTCTGAACAAATCATACATGATTTCTGAACTTCAATCTTTCATATAATAAAGATGCTCAAACATCCAAATTTATTAGCATAATTCATAGAGGAAGGTCTATTTTTATTTCTAGAAAACACGAAAAAAAATTTGATTTGTAACATCTTCAATAAAGTCAAAATCGATTTGAGTCACATTTTTCTAAAATTTCCCCACTATAAATTCAAAGAACTTAACTTGAGTTTAACTTTTCATTTAAAAAAGATTTTTTTTTAATTTAAATTTTCAAAAAATTTATGTCTTGATTTAATATTTTTTTTAAATTTAAATGTGCTACCTCTAAATAATGATATCCTAAGAACACTCTAATGTTATCAAATTTAGTACGATTATTTTTCTTTAATGCTCGCATCACCGAAAATCTAAAACTCACTTCGAAAATTTTTAAAGCCACTTCATCCAGTGATCGAGCAGCTTTGCAAATCACAGAAAATAGTCGCAAAAAATACTGAATGAGTCGTACACTCCAAATAGCAGCGAGTTTTGCCTTTATTTCTTGTTGTTTTTCTTAGCTGAAGATTTCAAAAGTCGTCTCCTGAAAGAAATTGAATGTCATTTAGTAGCAGACTTTTTGCACTTTAACAAAAGGACTTTGTAAGCAAGTTTTTCAGAATTAAATTATTTTTTTCTTCGAAGTGCGTCTTCTGTTCATCATGTTGATCTAATAATTCCATATTAGAGCATACATTTACGTGATTAATTAAATAACATACTAAACTACATCACTTAATCCAATCAATGCATCCTCTGGTTTATATGCGACGAAATGATTGTGACGAATTGATCGCGACGAATTGTCATGCACTTACATAAAATACTACCAACCGAACAATTAAAAGTTGTGATAATAAAGTTTCCATGAAAAGACTAACTTGGATTGTAGTGTATTTTTCAGTCATCGTTTGTCATATGTATCGAAAAACTATAAAGTGTTCTTTCATTAAAAGAAATACATAAGTTTGTAGAGATTTAAAAGATGAATCTTGCTAAAAGAAAATTTTGCTTCAAAATGACAAGAATAGACTAAGATATTGAAAAATACTGAGACTGCCATTTATTCTACAGGGTGTCCAAAAAATCGTGACCTTTTAATAAATATAAATAACTCTGCTACTAATCAAGCTTAATCAAATGTTTTTTTTCTATTTGCAATAAGAAACTGATTAGTCAGTTTAAAAGTCAACGGTTACAAAATTTTGAATTTTCAAACATGGAATACTGGTTGTTGCAAGAAAATCTGTGTTTTGATATTTAAAAGACTTCACTTGCATGCTTTAATTACGGAGCACAAATTTCACCATTGAAACTAAGTAGTTTTGGAAATTTACTCTGTTTACATCAATACAGAACCATTCATGTAATTCGTTGGACACGTTCTTATTATTCTATTAGATGACAACTGAAAATTATCTATGAAACGCCATACATGTATGTTCTTTTATTTGATAACAGGTAAAATTGCTCTCTTGATACCAACAATAATACTTAACAGTGGTATTCGCTTAACTTATCCGCATGAACTGCTACCAGTAATAAAAAAATCAGCGCATGCGATTAAACCGATGGGTAGATATTTCATTGTTTATTCAAGTACCATTTATGTGACACCT